AGGATTCACAAGGGCTACAAATCTTTGAGCTAATATTTCAAAAATACTACCCTACTGATATCATGAGCTTGTCTCCCTCTACTATGAAATTCAAACATATGGAAAAGCAACCAGAATAGTAAAGCCCCACGTCCCTGTCACCCAGTTTCCACAAGTTTCCATTTAGCCTCTCACCCTGCCCCAACTAAAAATCCTACCTTCTCAGTCTCCTCCCCCACCTCTTAGAGTTATTTTAAAGCCAATCCCAGATATTATATCATTTTGATCTGGAAAAATTTTAAAACTCTTTTCTAATAATTTTTCAGAAAAGTCCTTCCTTTGGTTGTGTTCCATAGGTTTTGAGAAGAAGCATCTATTCTTCGTTATTTTTTAACAAAGACTGGTTACTTTTTCATGGGTTATTACATTTTTTATTTGCTCTTTGACCTAGTGTATTCGGGAAAGTATGTCTTAATTCCCAACTAGCTAAAGTGCTGCTGGTTAAAGTATCTGGACTGTACTTAGTTTGTTGAACTTGAGACAGCCCTCGAGGCCGAGTACACAGTCACCTATTACACCTGTATTATAGTGGGACACTGGAAGGTGAAGTCTCCATGATTCCATCTTATTTATTAATTTTACCTCCTAATTATTATTTTTATTGAGATAACATGCATTTACCATACTGTATATGATGCATAGTGCACCATCCCACCCCACCCCCAAAGCGCCTTTACCCTGGGCCACTGGGGCACCACACTCCCTCTCTAGCAGCCTCCATCCTGCAGTCATATTTCCACAGTTTGTATTAGTTTCATTAGTTCTCGTTTCTGTATATTCCACATGTGAGTGAAATCATTCAGTAATTGTCTTTCTCCTTTTGACTTTTTTCACTTAACATGATCCCCTCCAGTTCCATCCATGTTGATGCAAATGGCAACATTTCTTTTCCCTTTTTTCACAGCTGAGTAGTAGTCCATCCCATCCTGTACATAAACCATTTCTTACTCAGTTCCTCTGTCTCTGGGCACTCAGGTTGTTTCCATAATTTGGCTAATGTAACTAGTGCCGTAATGAACACAGAAGCATATATATCCTTTCAAATAGGTGCTTTTGTATTCTTTGGGTAGATCCCTATAAGTGGAATTGCTAGATCACAAGGCATATCTCATTTTTAATATTTCGAGGTTAAAATCCTCTGTCTTGGAGCCTTTGGATGACTGTGGTCCTCTCTAACATCCTGACTGCCACTAGCTGACCCTGAACCTGAATGCCCAGCTGTAGGGTAAAGAAAATGTCAGGCTTTTCTGCCCTTCCGCCATCAGGATAGATGATGGATCCTTGTCCTGAATGCATGCCTGATGGTGGGCACCTGGAATAGGGTGTGGGCATAGGTAGATGGGATTCACCTGGGCTAAGACTGTTTTTTTTAAGGGCGGCGTCACAGGGATGCCAGTAGAAGCCGAAGCAGTAGAAGCCGAAAGAGAAGCCAGAAGCAGAGAACTCCAGAGAGCCCAGAGAGAGTGCGGATTTGCTGGGGGCTGGGAGGACTGCCAGCCTCCCGGCCCCCCAGCACCCCTGCCTGCCACGTACCCGTTGAACCCCAATAAAAACCTGCAAAACCACTGAGGACTCTGACTCCTCCTTTAACCGGTCTGCATGGGATCAGAAAACCTGCACTATGCCCATTCCTGGCCTTTACACCAGCAAAGCAGCTCCTGAGTTCCTGACATACAGCCACTATGAGAACAAGTATTTGTTTTCTTACACTAACCGCTGGGGTCATCTGTCATGCACAATAGCTAAGGAACCAAAAAAGAAACAGTCTTCATTTGTAAATGAAGCTTTGTAACCACAATTGCCCTTCAGAGTTCTCCCAAATTGGGTGAAGGGGAGAGGAATTTACATCCTCAGCTGACGAGTCATTTGATGTGGATTTTACACACACACACCCCCTCCCCAAACGGGAGCTTGACTGGGGAAGCAGTTTAATTCAACCGAGGCCAAGTTTTAAAGTGTCTTACCTGACAGTGGTTGAGAGACCCTCTCAGCAGCTCAAGGAACATATCTTCGATCCCACAGCAACGGGGCCCAGCAGCCAGCATCTACGTGCCATGGCTGGTGTGAACTCTGCCATGGCTCAAAAAACGGGCTTAAGATGCACAGCTGAAAGCACCAGAGTAGCCCACCCTCTAGAGAAAGATGCCTCACCTGGCGCCACCTCCCAAGGAGGCTTCCACCAAATGCTTCCCACCCTCAGTCCGCACTGGAAGGCAGGTAAGGGCTGCACAGAGCCCAGGTGGAGGGTGTGGCTTGCCCTCTGACAACAGGGACCAGTTCATCTGCGGATCTTTTCAAGCCTCTTCCTCCTCAGCCTACTCAGCGCCCGTATGAGGATGGAGACCTTTCTGATGATCCACTTGTGATTCTCTTAGTAACATTTTCTTCACTCTAGCTGATTTTAAGTATATAGCATATGACACATTAAACTTACAAAATGTGTTAACTCACTCTTCATCGGTTATGCTTCTGGTCAACAGCAGGCTAGTAGTCAAGTGTGGGGGTCAACAGCTAGATACGGATTTTCAATTACACAGGTTCAGTGCTCAACCCCTTTGTTCAAGGTCACTGGTGTCGTGTTCCCAGCAGGAAGTGACACAGAACGGGAAGCTATAAGATGATCTCTTCTGAGCATCAGTGTGGCTGGGGTTTCATTCTCTACTTGCAAACCCATCAGTCAGTGTTCTTGCTAATTGATCTATTTCAGGAAGAAGCAAGGAGACTGAAGAAGGATGGCAGGATGGAGAGGAGAGACCATGGGTTGACTCTAGACCTTTGTGTGACAAGGATGTGAACTTCTCAAAGGCCAGGTGGACAACAGGCAAAATAAATGGTCTCAAGCTGTCTTGTGGGACTCTCACCCAGGAGAACAGGTGTAATGGCGGGTGCAGCATTGGAGGGGAGATCAGACTTGAGAGCTCTCCCATGCAAAGAATGAGGGGACGTGGCCCACAGGCCTTCCCATGTGTGCCCTATGAAAGGGGTTTCAAACCAGGGCCAGTTATCCAAAGAAGCAGGGCTCAAATAAGAGAATTTCAGTGGTGGGGCCTCCCCGGTGCTGCGGCAGTTGAGCGCTGGGCTGTGAAGCTGCCCGCAGCCTTTGCAGTGCCGGTTCCATGCTTGGCCGGCTGGAGAGGGTCCCACATGGCTCGCCAACCTCTCCAGCCGCCGGCTGCTCCCCTCAGCAGTGTACTTTGTCAGTCTGCCTGTTCTGTTCCCCGCTCTGGCTCTGGTGAATCCTCTCACCCTCTCACGCTTCTAACTGTACCCAGTGCTTGTATAAATAAGCAAATAAATCTTAAAAAAAAAAAAGAGAACTTCAGCGGTGGCCAGCATGGGACACCTCAACACAGAAGCCAACTCTTGAAGAAGATAGTTGAAGAAATGTCAGCCAGAACGAGGACTTGCCCCTTCCCACCATAAGGTTCTAAGATGCCACTTAAGTCACGAGATTGACACTTCTACATGGTCTGACTTTCAGTAAGTGAAATTGAACAGAAGTGTGGTTAAGGGATGGAAACGATTCAAAAGAGCAGTGATTGGGGAAAATGTTGTTTTAAAGCCGTTGCTTTGGGAGGGCTCAACAAACTAACAATATTTGCTGCAAAATACTTGCTGGAATTACCCTGTGTGCTGCGCCAGCATTCATAGACTCCACGACCTACACAGACGAATAAAAGATGTCGAGGAAGAAATGTTATGTCGTAAAATAAGGATAAAGCGGATTTTCTGAAGCAAACAAGTCTCCAGTGTGGACCTGTTTTCCCGTGTTCCACTGAGGTGGTTATTTTACCAACATGATGGGTGCGTGATGGAGAGAGCCAGTTCTCGAATTGTTGAAGCAGACTAGACGGTGACGATCCAGTTTCTAGTTTCTAAGAACGGTTCCGTTTGAGTTGCCAGGAACAAGCCCAGCGCAGAGACCGAAGCCCTGAGGCTGAGAACTGCCTGTCGAGCGACACTCCGCCATCAACCTTCAAAAGCAACTGCTCATTGCAGCCCCACCACAGACGCCCTGTGAAAGTCCTTCAAGTTTGAAGAGGGAAGCACTCCTGACACTAATTCGAGGAACCGCCCTGCAGATTCCAGCTGCAGCCCTCAAAGTAACCACTTTAAAACAGAAAACATTAAAAAAAAAATCACCCTAGTACATATAAAAGCACCCCCTCAGTGCATTATCAATCTCCCAAAGAATGCATTTTTACTACACGGGTGGTCGGCGAAGTCCTGGTTTAGAACCCCGACAGGGGGTTTACACCCACAAGGGCCGTCTACACCGCGAGGAGCCCCGCCCCCACGCCCCGCCGCGTCGCCTCGGGTCGGGGGCTGAGCCGAGGCCTGGCCGGGCCGCCGCAGGGCGCAGGCCTCACCCCCGCGGGGCCCCGCCGCGCCCGAGGGAGCGGGGTCCCCCCGCCCCGGCCCCCGCGAGCCGCCCGCCAGCCCGCGCGGCAGGCCGGGAGCACCCCCAGCCCGGGCGGCGACGGGGGCGCGGGCCCAGATCGCGGGGCCAGTGCGAGCGCGGGGGGAGCGCGCGGCGCGCAGGTGACGCGGGTCGGGGACGCGCAGCCCAGGGGCCGCACCCCGGGCCGCCGCGCCCGCCACGCCCCCTGCCGCACGGCCCGACGGGAGCTCCGGCCAGCGGCGCAGCCTTGGCACCGCCCCCACCGCGGGGCACGCCGGGAAAGTCGAGTCTCCCCCCCCCCCCTCCGCCCCCCGCCCTCCTTTAAACGGAGCGCGCAGTCTTCTCGGAAGGAGTGGAGCGCCCGGGCCCCGACCCTCGCGCCCGGAAGAGGCGGGACGAAGACGCTAAGGCCCGCCCCTGCGCCGGAAGGAGGAAGGCGGGGTACTGCCGCGGCGGGCGGGCGGGAGAGGTCACGTGACGCAACGGCCCGCGGCGAGGAGAGGGCGGGGCCGGCGCGGGGGCGGGGCCGGCGCGGGGGCGGGGCCGCCCTTCCCCTCGGGTCACGCGCGCAGGAAGCGGCGCGGGCGCGGCGCGGCGATGGGGACCTCCCTGGACATCAAGATCAAAAGGGCGAACAAGGTGTACCACGCCGGGGTAAGTGGGTGCGCGCCCGCGGGCGGCGTTGGCCCGCAGCCCCGTGCACGTCTGGGTGCGCCTCGGCGGGGCCGGCGGGGGCGCGCCGCCGGGGTCCCCCAACCCCCCCGCCAGGGGCGGCCCCGCCGGGTCCTGGCCCCGCCCCGGCCCCGCCAGGTGAGCCCGGCTGGGTCCTGGCCCCGCCCCGCCCCCAGGTGAAGCCCCGCCGGGTTCTGGCACCGCCCCGCCCCCGCCAGGTGAGCCCGGCTGGGTTCTGGCACCGCCGCGCCCCCAGGTGAAGCCCCGCCGGGTCCTGGCCCCGCCCCGGCCCCGCCAGGTGAGCCCGGCTGGGTTCTGGCACCGCCCCGCCCTCAGGTGAAGCCCCGCCGGGTTCTGGCACCGCCCCGCCCCCGCCAGGTGAGCCCGGCTGGGTCCTGGCCCCGCCCCGCCCCCAGGTGAAGCCCCGCCGGGTTCTGGCACCGCCCCGCCCCCGCCAGGTGAGCCCGGCTGGGTTCTGGCACCGCCGCGCCCCCAGGTGAAGCCCCGCCGGGTCCTGGCCCCGCCCCGGCCCCGCCAGGTGAGCCTGGCTGGGTTCTGGCACCGCCCCGCCCTCAGGTGAAGCCCCGCCGGGTTCTGGCACCGCCCCGCCCCCGCCAGGTGAGCCCGGCTGGGTTCTGGCACCGCCGCGCCCCCAGGTGAGGCCCCGCCGGGTTCTGGCACCGCCCCGCCCCCAGGTGAGGCCCCGCCGGGTTCTGGCTCCGCCCCGCCCCCGCCAGGTGAGGCCCCACCGGGTTCCTTCCCCGCCAGGTGAGGCCCGGAGCCCCCGCGGAAGGGCTCGGGTCTCGGCGCGGGTCTGTGCGCTCTCGCGGCCGCAGTGGCACTGAAGTGCAAGTCGAGAAATAAACACCGTAATTCCGCCTTTCACCAGCCCTGTGCCACGGGGCGGTCACGGCCCCCGGGCCCAGGTTCCTTATTTCGCAGAAGGAGGATGTTGCGTCCCTGGGCCTCGGGGTCGCGCGCCTCCCCCTCCCTCAGGGGCTGCTGCGTGGCCCCTGCCCGCTCGCGCCTGCGGGACACGAGGGAGAGCGGGGCTGGGTTCCCGCAAGTGCCGCGCAGCCGCCCAGGGACGGCCGCCGGCGGAGATCGCGAACCGAGGCTGAAATCTCGGGTGCCCGACGGTGGGGGGACCCTGAGGTTTGCACACAATAAATGCGGCCACCTCGCAGGTGCCGAATTACCCCGGGGAAAAAACTACCTGTGAAGGAGGAACGCAGGTTCTCCCTGGCGACTGGCAGGGAACGGACACCCCCTCAGCACCCTCTGCGGGGCCGAGGACCCCCGGCGTTGTGGGGGGCAGAGTCCTGGACAGGGGGTGGAGCGAGGGGCCCCTCAGCTGTGTAGTATCCCTCTGCGGAGTGTTTAACCTAAATCAGTCCATACGGAAACAGACGTATCCAAATTGAGGAAAGTTCTGTGAAATTTTGGATTCTTCAGAAATGTCAACATCATGAAAAAAAATATTGGGCATTTATTTTTAGGTTAAAAGACACTAAAAGAATAGGACCCGACCAATACAATGTATAATTTTGGATACATTTGCATGTGGCTCCTAGTAAATACCGTTTTGCATGGGTGTTAAGTATCTCTGGTGTGATATATGTATTTTGGTTATGTGGGAAAATACTCCACGGGCTGAAGAGTTTGGGGGTATAGTGTCACAGTAACTACATTTTATGTGGTTCGGCCATTGTGTTCCTGTGCTGGACCCCTGTGCATACACTCCTGTGCATACTGTTGCTACGTGAGAGAGCAAAAGGCAAAATACTAACAGTTGGTGACCCTGGTGGAACCTACATGGATCTACTTTGTATTCCTTGTTTTAAGTAACAGCTTTATTGGAATCTAATTCAAATAGCATAAAATTCACCCTCGTCAACATATCGAATTGTGTGGTTTGGCTATATTCCCAGAGCTGTGCCCCCATCACTACCGTCTAATTTTAGGATATTTTCATCACCCCCAAAAGAAATGCTATCCCATTAGCAGGCGATGCTCATCCTGCCCCCCTCTGAGCCAGCGGCGACCACAGATCTGCTTTCTGTCGCCAGACGTTCCATATAGAGAATCACGTAAAAAAAATAAAGAGAATCACGTAGTGTGCGATCATTAGCTGCCAGTGCCTGTTTTCTCAGCGTTCATACCTGTTGTCAGGCCCGCACTCTTTTTTATGACTGAATGATATTCCATTGCTCAGATAGACCGCGTTTTATTTATCCCTTCCTCTGTGGATGGACATTTGCGTGGCTTTCACTTTTTGGCTGTTATGAACAATATTAATATAAACATTCTAGTACAATTTTTTTGAGTGCATGTTTACATTTCTGTTGGGAATATATGAAGGAGTTGGATCCTGGGTGACACGGTAACTTTCTTTTTAACTTTTTAAAGAGCCACCAAACTTTTCCAAAGCGCCTGCTCTCCTTTATGTGCCACTAGGAGCGTGTGGGCCCCATTTTTAGTCTTTTGTGTCCTCATCATTTCTCTCTAAATTGGAAAATCTCAGTAAGGATTGGGGGAGGCAGTGGCAAGAAATCATGTACATTTGCTTTAATATTTACTGTTCCATTAAAAAGTTAGCGCTGTCTATTCAGAGATGTAACCCTAGCCGAGATGCTGAGATGTCTTCTGTGGTGAACATGTGGCAAAAGTGACAAATAGTACACAATGAAGCAGGTTTGGCACAGTGACCCCCCCCCCTGCCTGGTTTGTCCTTACTGTGTGAGGGTGTCCTCTGCCACCCTCCCCCTGTTGCCTGGCACAGGTTTTCCATTTTTCTCTATGTCTCAGTAGCACTGGTGCCCAGTCACTGAAGACTTGCCTCACCTGTGGGCCGTCAGCACAGCACCTGTCCTGGTTGGCAGGTGATAGCTGCCAGTGAAGCCTGTCCTTTGGTCCCACGGTTATTGGTGAAGGGAGATGGATTTGTCCACATAACCACATGCTCCAATCATTGGTCACCCTGGAGCTATTTGGGAAGCCCCAGGGTAGTTTTGATGGCCAGGCAGTATCACTGCCATGATACCAATAAGGACACTGAGGCCTGGGCCCTGTCCACCACCTCCCAGCTGATGGCAGAGCCTGGACCCCAGGTCAGGTGGCGGCATTTCAGAGTGCTCTGTGATACCGACCCCTCTAAGAGGGGCCACTTTCTGCAAAACGGAGGAATTTGTGTTGTAGACATAGTTGTTACTAGTTTCCAGCGGTGCTGGCATTGTAACATTCAGTGAAAAAAAAGCTGCTGTGATTTCTACTTGGAAAATAGCCCACCCAGTTGCTGCACTTTCAACATCTTGGTTGTGGGACTGTCTGAAAACATTTCTGATTCTTTGGACACCAGAGACCCCAAATACTTGGGTTTAACATTGGCCCTTGACACAGGCACTCTCTGACCAAATGGCAGAGTTTTAAAAATTACAGTTGGATCACTTTTGTAATTAGGAGTGTAATCCGTGCCCTGTTAACAGCTTCTCCCCTTGCAGAAGGCTGGACAGGAAAGCCAGGCCTCTCTCTGACCTCTTCCCTGGCCCTGTCCGTCTCCTCTCACACAGACTTGCCTCTGAACTAGACGGACATACCTGGCTCGTGCTTGCTTTATGTCGCACCTTCATCTGGATGCTTTTCTGCCATGTCTGATCAATCTCATTCTTTTTTAGATTGTTATAATATTCAAAACATGTATTCAGTCCATGTCTGCAGCCTCATGACACAGGTCAGTAGAAAGGAAGGGCGATGGGGAGCTGGGCTGGGGCCTGGGGAGCAGAGTAGGAGGGGGACAGGGGCCCTCAGGCGCTTCAAGGGGGCGGGGTGGAGGCTGGCGATGCTTGAGCCTAGTTTTGTAAGCTGGGAGCCAGGCCCGGGTCTCCTGCCCCACCTACACTGTTTGTTTCTGGCAGAGCCATGGACTGTCAGCCACGTGAACAAGAACTTGGAGACATTTGTAAAGCGACCCTAGTCCAGCGAAAGGTTTCTGGTACGGTTGCCTCGTCACATTTGATGGCAGTTTTTGAAAGCAACTTCACGTTTCCTTCTCTCCAAAATACTTCTTTTCTTTTCCTTGAGTTTTAGACAGACGTTGGTAGGATATATTTTCAGTTTGCCTTAGCCTCAGAGTTATACATCGAACCCCCCAATCCACCCTTGCCCCCATTACTGTGTTTGCTTCAGGACAGTCACTCTTAATGATAAATATGGGAGCGGGACTGCAGAATCCCTGTAAAGATGGCTGTCAGCACTCTCATTCGGAAATAGAAAATCACAGAAACGGTCCAGAATTTTATCCCTCGGGGTCTTCACACTCAGCATGAGCAGCTCTCCCTGAGAGCCTGGGGCCTGAGGCCGGGCCCCCGGCCCCCAGAAGTCATTTTCCCTGGTCGGGAAAGTAACCTGTGTGTCCACAGCCCGCGGATGGAATGTGAGATGATAAAAATTACCTGATTCCAGTGAAGGGTAATGTCCCGAGGATGCAGCCAACATTGTTTTACAGTCTCCCCTCTCCACGCTCGTCCGCACAGACACCGAAGAGGTGGCATTGCCCCCATTTGCTGGGCGAGTGGACGGAGGCTCAGAGGATTCAGGGACATGCCGGGGCACCCCGTGAAGGATTACCTGAAACTATGTCTTCCCCTCCCAAGGTCACAGCTCTGTGTGCCACTTAGCTCTCCCAGGGTGGCGCTGATAGCACACGGGGCTTTTGTCGTGAGGGCTAAGTGAGACCGCGCTTAGACATTCCCGGGCAGCCCTGCCCTGCGGTCAGGGCCCGGTGGCAGGTGGTGGTGGTGCGGCCTCTTCCACGGCGGCATTTTCTGGAGTTGCTCTCCGTCTGCCTCGGCATCTGCTCACCGTGCGAGCCCCCGCGTGGGAAGTCCTCAGCAGGCGTCTCGACCCTCGGGCTCCTCCGCTCCAGCCGGGAAGGAGGGAGGCCAGTGGTGGAGGAGGGCAGATAAGGGGTGACAGCACTGTGG